TGAAACCGCCATTTACATTAAGAAGCGAGTCAATGCGTGAAGGGAGCTTGCCACTAACCACTCCCTAGCCAATTTTGCCGTCACCTGTCTTAGTTGGCGGAAATAATCATCATTACGGCCCCTGGCTCTAGCTGTCTCAGCAGACAACTGCAGGGTTCTTCCGCTGATCCAATCACTGCGACGCCGCGGGATGTATCCAAGACTTTTCTCGGCTGCCTCATAGACTGACGTTCTCAGTGAGGACCATTGGCTACTCTCTTCTCCGTCAGTTTGGGTCGTCAAACAGGACCGGATTTTTCTGCTCAGGGCTTCAGCAGTGTTCGGTTATCGCATTTTGGCTACATCGAGGCGTCTAGCGCGGATGAGAAGTGAGTTTTCAAGTGTGTACGAGCGAGAACGTGGTCGGACCCATGAGCATTATCAGTCTCAAGACCACGCAGCGACCAGCTATAATGAACTCAGCTATTGAATCTTGAGCTGACTAACGTGTACTCAATCTGACTGGTCGAATGGCCGTCGTTCGAGTACAAGATTAGCAGATGTTTGTTGCGGTGCTCGAAGCGCGTGTTCGTAACAAACAGTCAGTTCCGATAGCAAAGTACAGCAGTCTTTCACCATTCTCACATCGAGAACCAAACCCAAAGCGGCCGATAAGGTGACTTATGAACGTCCTCAAAACTCATCCACATGTTTGTACGATCCGGAACTTCTTCAAAATCAGGTATACTAAACGGTAGCTGTCCCTCGTTGGCCCCATGCATGCCGATAATGTTGACGAAAGTAGTTACTATCATCCTCCCTTCTACAGTCACTGTTCTGGCCAACGATACAACTTTGATAAATACTGAACCTATCCGACTACCAGTTTCCCTTGCAAAGCTCTAGGATAAGTTTTAGCAAGTGACTGCATATTCACATCGACAATTTTTTTATCCCAGACAAGTGTATCCTACTATCTGATACCGTAGCAATCGGTCAAACTGCGTTCTGCCCTTGATTTCATTTAAGATAGCCTCCGCTTCTTCCTTTACTCATCTCGTCCGCTGCTTGCCTGTCATTTAAGAACATGGAAAAAACATAGACGTGCTAATTTTACTCGGTATCACTAGAAGATAGCTAGAAGACTATGAACTGTTCCATGTATGTAGGTACCAAAACCTGATTACCTTTAATTTATCACTCAAGGAACTGGGTGTGTGTGCCATTGGTCTAATTACCCTCGCCGTCTAATCTGATGTTACATCTAGGTTGTTGATTGTTCTTTTACCATCAAACGCCCAGCCCGCCATGGCCCAGGCATCCATACCCTCGTGGTATCTTCCTCTTGTTTACCACTGATGTCCCTGGTGGCACCGACGACCATGCTTTCATATTCTGCTCAACCCCCGGGCTCGGCCCCACCCATTTATCTGTAAACTGGTCGTCTACCTTGCGTCTACCTTCTCTCTGACTGTGCCTCGGTACCTGGACTGTTGTGAGGGAATTTGCTTTTTATTCTCGCTTATGTCCCCTGTAGCCGCAGCAGTGACACTGTCGTGTAGGGAATGAGACTCGTTCGAGCACGAATTGAGGGACGAGGCTAATTAGTGCTTTCTAGCCGTTCACACTGATACAGCAAGCCACATTCAGTCGGGGGCTGCCCCATGTTCAGAGCGGATAGTGATATAGCGAGTTCAAACAGTGTGCGAGGA